TATTCTCATCGGTCGTGAGACATGAGTACCGATTATTTAAATGTAAAGTTAAAATGTAAAGGTAAAATCTGCAAAATTTCGAGTGTGTCCCATTTAAATAAATTTGATGGTACATATTTCGAGTGAAATAGGACGTACATACCCTGTACATATAACCACGATATTTTAAAAATGAAAATTTTATTTAGTAAATAGTTTTATTTGCGTATTGTATTGTTATAAAATGCCTAGAACTTTGGAGTTTTATCAAAGCCTGGTAGGACTTTTACCACGGTGGTAATAAAGAAAATAAATAAATTGTTTAAAACGAGGTATGTAGGATCCGACCATCGCCTAGTAATAGGAAAAATAAATATAGCAATCACCACACAAGGCAAGCGAAATACAAAAGTAGAAGAAAAGTTAAACATAGAAAGCTTAGAAGAAAAAGGGACACAAAACTTGTATATAAACAGACTAACAGAAAAGCTAAACAGCCATAACCTAGAGACTAAAAATAATATAGGAGAAACCTGTAAAATTATTAAAAAATGTATCCTACAAGCAGCGGAAGAAGCTTTAGGTAAAAGAAAAGTTAACAGAAATAAACGGGAATACAAAACTCCATGGTACGACGAAGGGGTGAAAGTAGGTACAAGCAAATAAAAAAAAACAAGCTTTCCTAACATACAAAGAAGTGAAGACACCGGAGGCACGAGAAGACTATGTGAGAATCAGGAATAGAGTAAACCAAGAAATAGATAACGCTAAAAATAACACTGGGAGAAATTTACCAAAGATATGGAATATGACCTTTATGGATCCCAGAAAAAGGTGTGGAAGATGATAAAGAAACAAAAAACAGAAATGAATGAATTTATATATAGATAAAATTATGGAGGAACAATAGACTGAGCATTTCACGAAATTATATGGAGAAGGAGAAGAAATGAATAGAAAAAGAATCATTAACGAAACTCTCTATAGAGTACTAATATCAGAAGAAGAGCTACAAGAACGAATAAAAAAATTAAAAAACAGAAAAGCACCTGGTTGTGATAAGATAAACAATGAACTACTAAAATATGGAGAAACACTACGCAAATGGCCCCTAAAATTATTCATCGATATACTAAATACCAGAGTAGTACCAGCGGAATGGAAGAAAAGTCTCCTGCTACCGATACTTAAAAAAGGAGACTCGAGAAATCCTGAAAATTATAGAGGCATTGGTCTGTTCAATAATACATTAAATTTTTTAACGGCAGTCATAAAACATAAAATCGAGGAAAAAGCGAACATAGCAGATGAACAAGGCTTCCGGAAAAACCGTAGCACAATAGACGCAATTTTTATTATCAGACAAATAATAGAGAAGTCTATTGAACATGGAAAACCAGCATACATGTGCTTTGTAGATTTAAAAAGTTCTTTTGACATGGTGAAGCGAAATGACATCTTAAATTTATTACAAGTTGAACAAATAGACCATCATATAATAAGGACAATTAATGAAAAGCACACGAACAACAAGATCAGAGTTGTAATGCCAACAGGAGAAACAGAATGCATAGAACTAAAAGGAGGAATCCGCCAAGGAGACTCCCTCAGCCCATTGTTATTCAATATGGTGATGAATAAAATAATCCACGAAGTAAGAAAACGACGCGGATACCACATGGGTGCGCATAAAATCACGATACTATGCTATGCCGATGATGCAGTACTAATTGCTTATAACGAAGATGACCCACCAAGGCAGCTCCACACCTTCAATATCACAGCAAATAAACTTAATATGAGAATATCAGTAGAAAAAACTAAATGTATAGTGATCAGTAAAGAGCCGCGTAAATGCAAACTAGAAATAGACGGCAAAATTGTGGAACAAGTAATGAAATTCAATTACCTAGGAGTAGAGATCACTAGTGACAGGGATATAAGAACAGAGACTACAAGACAAGCATCAAAAGCAGCAAAAGGAAGTGGTTGCCTCCGAGAAATTATATGGAGAAACAAATATCTGACCACGGAAAGCAAAATGAAAGTATACAAGACAACAGTAATAACAATCCTAACATCCTAACAAGGACCGATACAAGAAAGACGAAACAACAAATCAACAATATCGAAATGAAAGTATTAAGATCAATAGCGGGCATATCATTAAGAGACAGACAAACCAACAGAAGTATACGCAAACAATGCAAAATTCAAAATATAAACAGGTGGATAAAAACAAGAAAAAAAAAACTGGAACAAACATGTAAACCGAATGGGACCAGATAGATTATCGAAAACATCTGTAAAAAAAGATCTGTAAAAACAACAAGCCGTATAGCAGATGACCCGTTGGAAGCCTCCAAAAAGGTGGAAAGATAATGTACAGTCAACAACAACTGCAACAGAATAAGAGGCAGACAAATAGAAGTAATCCTAGTCGCACGAAGAAGAAGAAGAAGAAAACGAAGGAAAAACGAAGACGATATACTTTAACGCAGAGTTTTTCGATTGTTGCCAAAATATTGAAATTCCACGTTTGACAATGAAATAAGAGTTATTCAATATAGGTCAAAGGGTTAGACAAGAAATATGAGTCTCTAAAGAGGATTAATATTGCTATAACCCAAGAAAGAAATATGCAAAGAAATGTAAATCAGAAAGTAGACAACGAACAAAATAAAGCCGAAGTTGATCATCACCTATACTTTAGCCATTTAGTCAATTTTTTAATTCATTATAAAATAAAAATCCATAAAATGTCATATAAGTCATACAAGCAGTAAACGCAACATGCGTTGGTGGAATAATATAACATCATTGATGGGGCTTAGAGGGATTCCCTACATACGACCTTATATAGTTAACTGGATATAATAAATTATGCAATGCAATTTATTCAAATATCTAAAAATATCTAGCAATAATTAATAGGTAAACTACAGGAAAGATAAGATCTTATAAACCTGTCTAAAGCGTCACCATTTCTTATGTCCCTGATAAACTTTTTTATAATTTCAGGAAATACGATTCACAAGGACTCACAATTTTACAAATAAAGCGAAATTTATGTACACTTTATATACCGATCTGCTAGCTAAAGGCGTAGAGTATTTGGCTGTCACGGGCAACACATTTATTTGATTCCGGACCGCTGCAAACATCGCTGTATTTTTAATCATATCTGAAGGCTCCAATCGGAACTACTCGTAAATGAGTACTTTGGGTATACCACCTGAATGAAATTATAACACTAGCAGAAAAACAACAAAGTTTTAGGTCGGAAAGATCATGCACCGACGCTATATTTATAATGAGGCAAGGGCAAGATAAATCATTAGAATACAATGAACCAGTATATCTATGCTTTATGGACCTTAAGAAGGCATTTCACCCGTTCAAATTAAATGTCGTTATTTACTTATTATACGCAACAGAGATACCTTTAGGAATAATCAAAGCGATCGAAAATATCCAACAAAACATCACAATAAAAGTAAAAGTAGAAGAAAAACTAATTGATCCTATCGAAGCTGGCAATGGGATAAGACAGGAAGATTCCCCGGGTCCTCTATAGTTAAACCTGATTATGGATAAAATAATAAATAAGTAAGAACTAACTGGTAGACCAATTTAATATAACTGCCAAAAAATTTAACACGTATTGAAATAGCACGTGCATAATTCGTTAAACTGGAAAAGATTCTTTGTTGTCAGGATATAAGATTATAACTAGGCCTAAGGATGTTTTGGTGGTGTTACGTATTCACTACTTTTCTTTATGGTTTGGAAACATGGACATTAAAACAAGTACATCTGAATAAGTTGGCCGCCTTTGAATTTTGGTGTTACAGAAGAATCCTACGAATATCATGGACTCAAGAATGTCAAACGCATAAGTTACTATAAGAATAAAAATTAAAGCTGAAATAATATGAAAAAAATATCAAAAGAAGAAAACTTGAGTACTTAATCCATGTGATGAGAGGGCAAAGATACTCATTATTGAAGCTTATTAGGCAAGGTAAAATTCGAGGAAAGGGAAATGTGGGAAGAAAGAATACCGTGGCTTAAGAACTTAAGGGAATGTTTTTGAAATCAGTAATGCAGAACTATTTAGAGCGGAAGTCAATAGAGTCCAAATACCCATGATAATTTCCAATCTTCGATAGAAGATATAACTTAAAGAAGAAGAAGATCTAAGCCAATGTCCGCACCCATATATTTTTTCGCCTAATATGCCACACGTTTTTCGACTAGTATATTCTCACTCTATGTGAGGTGTATATAGGTATAAATTGAGATTTCTAATTCTTCCCCCTGGCAAAATTTTACTAGTATTTCCTCGAGTTGATTTATTTCTTCTATGCCTTTTCCCACTGTGTCTTCAAATCTTTCTTTGCCTACCTAGGCGTTAAAATTACCTATGATAATTGTTATTTCATTTTTATTTATATCTGACTTGTTATAAAGCGACTTTGGTGTTTTTGGTCTAAATTGAATTGATATCTATATCGGGTTTATTAGCTATTGGGGAATAGCACTGGATTATATTTATATTTTACAGATCAGTATTAAATTGTAGCATTTTTAAACGGTTTGGGATTCACGATAAAACTTACCGCATTTGGTCGATACACCTTTTTCTGATTTTGGTAATCGTATTTCACTGAAACCATTTCTATTTCTAGTTTATCTATTTCTCTTATATTATTATGGGCTTATTTCTGTCATTAATATGCTCCTGACGTTTCATGTTCCGATCTTAGTAGGTACGTTTCCACTTTCAGGTGTTCCTTGTTTTCATTATGGAGATTGTTTGCTCCCTTTGACTCATCCATGATCTGCCACGGAATAGTACCCACTGCTAGTTGTTATAAAACTTTACTAAAGCTTTTTACTTTATATATTTTCAATGGAAACAAGACAACAGGGTTAAATTCGTATCCATTATCTAATTTTGTACTAAAACACTTTAGATAAATATCTTACAGTAATACTCTTTCTTTTTTCTGTTTCAGATCCGTTATTCAGTATTAACAATTAAAATTACACATTAGGTGATGCATCTACCAGTTTCAGTGCAAACTTGCAACGTTTCTGAAGAAGCGTGGCCGAAGTCCAGTATGGGAGAACCTCCATCAGTTTACCAGAACCCCGATCTGTACTGGTTCGAGCACAAAATTCACGAGATCCAGGCAGAACATTCCGGTGAGCTGGTGAGAACCGGTAGTCCGTATATTTTGTGCACGCAGTTGCCGAACCATTGGCGGTCGAACAAGACTTTGCCGATGGCATTCAAAGTGGTGGCTGTGGGGGATATCGGGGATGGAACTATCGTTACGGTTCGGGCAGGAAATGATGAGAACTGTTGTGCTGAACTCAGGAACTGTACAGCGGTTATGAAGAATCAAGTCGCTAAATTTAACGATTTGAGATTTGTTGGTCGCAGTGGAAGGGGTAAGTACCTACTTTTTTACGTACGTAAAGACTATCCCATTATTTTGAAGTTTTTGTATTAAATAGTCACATATCTTCGGTATACTGCGAAAACTAGGTAAATGTCGGAATACCGAAATCGAGAAAAAACGTTTTCAAAGTTTAGCTTTTTATTGTAAATTAAGCAGTCAACTTGTTATTGATATTAGCTATTCTAGTGAAAGATGCATATATCTGAAATGGTATTCTATCATTAGTTTGAAAAAGTTGCGATTTCCATCTGACTAATCCTAAATTTTAGTTGGAAATGTTTTTAGTTTAAAAACTTACCTGGTTTTACCTGTAAATCTAAATAAATCAGTTAGTTTTTAAATAACATATTTAACACAAATATAATAAACCAAGATTAATATTTTCCAGTTTTCTGATCTAGATATGAGGCTTTTACGAGGTAATAGCAATGTTTTATTAGTCGATATTTATGACATTTAACGGGTTTTTCCTGAAAATTTTATTAACAGCTGTTTGTACTTATAGTTATTATTTATATGAATGATAGATGGTTTTATAGAAAAAACAAATTTATTTTGAATATAATATTAACAGTAATATATATTATAATACAAAGCACGTGGTGTTCGTGTGTATCAAGGTATAAAAACTGCTTATTAAAAGCTTAAAACTTTATTTTAAAGAAGATCATTTCGGAATTAAATCATTCCATCATCAGTTTAATAAAAAGTTGTTAAAAACATTGTTTGGCCACAAAAAAACACTAGAAGGACATCAGTAACAAAAACAATCCTCATGGAATTTACAAAAGGTAAATGCAATAGACCTTTAACTTCGGTAGGTAATAAAAACTACAACTGGGGGCCTAACGTGACCCCCAGGAGCTGGCGAAATTTTGTCGATCAGATCAGAGGTAATGTAAGCTTTCTAACTTCCAGCTGTATGAGTTATTCTTGGACCGTGTAACTGATCCCTATGGTCTCTGATATATAAAATTCGGTTGCTAAAAACATTTACTATATCAGCGGATAAATTTGTGGACAACCTCAGATTTCATAACTTCGAATGCATTGCTGTTAAGTTAGCACAGTCGTAAGTGCCTTTAAAGTCTAGAAAAAAAAACCTGCTAAATATTAATATTAAGAAAATCTTATGTTTTACAATAAATCTAAACTATTATTTTTCGTTAATACTTGATTTAATTTTACGAATGTTGGGTTTTTAGATATTTTGCAGAATACAAAAATTCTTAATACTGCACTGCCATAAAAAGCTATAGCACTTATTTGGTTAAATTTTTTAATATTACGCAAAATCTATTGTTATTAATAGATTATTCCGATAGCTGATAAATAGCTTTAAAGATCAACAATATTGTTTCTTGAATATAAATGTAAAAAAGTCAAAAATCGTTTATTGATGAATAGGGAATTCAAAACTCATTAAACGTGGGTGCTACTTGTAACTTCTTTTCGTTTAAAATAATTAAATAGATTATATTATAAATACCTTAAAATTGCCACCAATTAATATATTACATAAATATGGACCGCAGTGTATTTTTTTATACTTTGACAATAGATTTTAATCAGAAAACCGAAATTTTGAAACGAATTTTTATTTTATCTATAATATTTTTTAATAATCTTTTAATTATTTTGCAGCACTTCCACGAAATATTGTAAAACTAAAATAACATAATTATTGTGCATCAGAAACATCAAAACAGGTTAATCTTTCTTCAAAACTCGACGAACAATAAGTAAAAAAACAAACAAATAAGCTTGAAATTAGTAACGTATTTGATGCTTTTTTTTTCATAATTTGTTGAAATTGTCGAAAAAAACTAAAGCTAACCAACTCTTTCAAAAATTTAATGAAATGAAATTACTCACGCAAGGGGGTCAAAGAATTCTTAATCTTTATTCCATGCCCACCATGCATCACTAAGGAATATTCGTTTGGCGAATGCCACATGTGACTCCAATTATTGTAATTTTTCTTCATGGATGCGGTAAAATACGAGTACGACATAATATCTACAAATATTGGGCATGTCGCGTGCCATGTGCGGTAAGACAACTGCAACTTAATTTTTAATGAAGATCTGTCTTGAATTTTGTTTCTTCTTCGTTAATAATTCATGCTATGATAATATTTAATAACATACTATTATTGTTTCATACTATCTCTTTCTAATCTGAGTTGTAAGAGTCTATTTTTACTCATGTATTTGTTTTATATTTGAAAAAAATTTATTAAAATCCTTTGTAAAAGGTATATATTTAAATATTAAATATAATAAATTTTAAATATTTAAAATATATACCTTTTACAAAGGATTTTAACAATTTTTTTAATATATGGTATACAGCCAATTACAGGAACGTAGATTCCTTGTGGGCTTTATATTTGCTTTCCTTTGAAATTTTTTATTCTAGCTTTCGTTTCCTTTTTTGATTTCTTCTCAACAAATTTTTCAGGATTAAGTTTCTTTTTATGTTACTCTTTTTTTTCTATTCCACAATTTTTTTTATTTAAAATTGACAAATGATAATGATTATTTGCCGAAATATGTTTTAACCCTTTACCACATAAATTTGGTTTTTTGTTAAAAATAAATTCTCAGATAAGAATTTGAATTCTATTTTTACGTAAAAATATTGAAAAAAATATAGCTACGAGGAAAACTTTATTGACAAAAAAATTTTTGGTCCCAATATGGAACATCATACAACAATGTAATATTAAAGTCAAACTATTTTGAAGCTACAGTATATACTATACAGTATGCAATTGGAGATAACAGTTTCTTTTAGGTAAAAAAGAAATAAGTAAGACTTACTTACAATAAGTTTAATTTAACTAACTAGACGACCGGTTTCGTTTTCTACAATTTGCAAAGCATCTTCAGGTCAGTCGATACAAAGTTAATTAAATGCTGAAATAATAAATCCCATATTAGGTCGCTGTCTTATAAAGATAAACATAAAGATAAAATAATATAAATTATAGCAATTATGCCAATATTACATGTCTGTGGTTTTTAATATGAATAAACTGTTTAAGCAGACAAAGTAAGACACACAAATTGGTATAAAATAGTCTATTGAATTGTAATAAATTAGTAGATAAACAAAACATTACTTACATGCCGGTACACGATTTATTAATAATTGGGAGAACATAGTTCAAAGTATCCTGTAATTGCCGCTGATGGGATCTTCAGTTTTTTACTATATAACTGTTTGAGAATTAACGGGAAAGTTTCTTGAGGAGATAGATATTAACCAATGAAGTAAAAATAAGGTATAATGTGATTGTTTGTTAAATGAAAGTGATGTTCTGTATTATTTAATCCATTAAAAGTTATTTATATTTATTCAATATATATAAATGTGTGCAATTCCTTTAACTTGTAATTATCAAATTTCTTTGATAAAGTTTAATTAGATTACTGTTGTTTGGCAGATAATTGTAATGTCAAATATGTTACAATTATTAAAACTAAAACAATTAAGGACACTTAAGGATAAACAGAACACACTTAAAAGGACAAAACAGACATTAAATTTAAAATGGGGGACTTAATGGCACTACATCTCTGAATTGAAGAAACTGAGTTTTTTGTTGTCTATTAGATTTTTAGAGGTAAATTTGACAATCTACTGCAAGTAAAGTTAACCAGCTTTTTGAAGTAAACAGATATTAATGAAAATTCTTTAAACATTTAAATGAAACTGTAAGTTAAAATGTATAAATTCAGTCATTAAATAAATTAAATTTAAATGTAACAATCAGAATAATTGAAATAAATTTCCTAATATAACTAACTAAATTGAGTCAGAATTACAAAACAAACTTAAGTGATTAATTGGTAATTAAAATATATAAAGTATTAATCAAAATCTGTAATAAAGTTACAAATTTTTTTTTTAATTTTTTTGAAAAAATATTGTTGTTGTGAATGAGCTATCTGTCATGGTATGTGTAAACATTTTATTTCAGTTCTATGTTAATATGGAAACTAGAGCAAAAATAGATAAAATGTTGATGGTAAATTAATTAACAAATTCAAGAAATTTATTGATTTATTACAAGTTAATAATGAGTTGGTAATTCTAGTATATAACAGTTGAGTTCCGGAAGTGGGTCAAATAGTAGTCAAATGATGTACTATTTAAACCGGTGTAATGTAATTGCGGTGGTGTGGTGGTGTAATTGCTAATCTTTATAAGACCGCACCCTACTATGAGTTTTATTATTTCAGCATTTAATTAACTTTGTATCGACTGACCTGTACATGCTTTGTAAATTGTAAAAAGCCAAACCGGTCGTCTAGGTAGTTAAATTAAACTGATCGTGAGTAAGTCTTACTTATTTCTTTTTAACCTATTTGAAATGGACTCACAGAAGCAACACATTCATGATTTGAACAGTTTCTTTCTTTATTAATACACAACGGTATTGTGCTTTGTGTGCACACTATATATGATTTCCCTATGCAGCCTGGAAATTTACATCTTAACCTAGTGCTCTCATCCCAATAGGGAAAATTAGCAAGCCCAGCTTGGGGTATTTCTTTAGTGGGTCCCTTATTTCGTTTGTTCTCGTACATCTGCTGAATGCTATTACTTGATGGTCTTCCTACTCTGTTTTGTTTAATTGGTTTCCCGGCTTTGTATATAGCATAGTCTATTGCTATAATAGTTTGGTATCCAAAAAGGGTAAATCAAATTTCTTCGCTCTTTTGGCTAATAACCAATAGTTCACGGCTGTCATGTCAATGAAATGAAAAAATATTCGTAAATAATATTTCTTCGACCTGATTTTTATACGATAAAATTCTAACATGGAATCAAGGAGAATCATGCAGTTGTTGTAGATTAGGACACTGTTAGGACAAGGTATCATTTTATGTATACTTTCTTGTTTGAAAAATCTTCTCTTTCCCCCTTTGGTTTACTTCCAGCATAATGTTGACATTGTAGTAACGATTTTATTATCAA